ACCTCATTTCCTCTACCTGTACTACACCTCACTGCCTCTACCTGTACTACACCTCATTTCCTCTACCTGTACTACACCTCACTGCCTCTACCTGTACTACACCTCACTACCTCTACCTGTACTACACCTCACTACCTCTATCTGTACTACACCTTACTACCTCTACCTGTACTACACCTCATTTCCTCTACCTGTACTACACCTCACTGCCTCTACCTGTACTACACCTCATTTCCTCTACCTGTACTACACCTCACTACGTCTACCTGCACTACACCTCATTTCCTCTACCTGTACTACACCTCACTACCTCTACCTGTACTACACCTCATTTCCTCTACCTGTACTACACCTCACTGCCTCTACCTGTACTACACCTCATTTCCTCTACCTGTAGTACACCTCACTACGTCTACCTGTACTACACCTCACTACCTCTACCTGTACTAACACCTCAACTACCTCTACTGTACTACACCTCTACTACCTCTACCTGTACTACACCTCACTACCTCTACCTGTACTACACCTCACTGCCTCTACCTGTACTACACCTCACTACCTCTACCTGTACTACACCTCACTACCTCTACCTGTACTACACCTCACTACCTCTACCTGTACTACACCTCATTTCCTCTACCTGTACTACACCTCACTGCCTCTACCTGTACTACACCTCATTTCCTCTACATGTACTACACCTCACTGCCTCTACCTGTACATACACCTCATTTCCTCTACCTGTACTACACTCACTACCTCTACCTGTACTACACCTCACACCTCACCTGTACGACACCTCACTACCTCTACCTGTACTACACCTCATTTCCTCTACCTGTACTACACCTCACTGCCTCTACCTGTACTACACCTCATTTCCTCTACCTGTACTACACCTCACTGCCTCTACCTGTAACTACAAACCTCATTTCCTCTACCTGAATACACACCTCATTTCCTCTACCTGTACTACACCTCACTACCTCTACCTGTACTACACCTCATTTCCTCTACCTGTACTACACCTCACTGCCTCTACCTGTACTACACCTCATTTCCTTCTACCTGTACTAACACCTCACTGCCTCTACCTGTACTACACCTCATTTCCTCTACCTGTACTACACCTCATTTCCTCTACCTGTACTACACCTCACTGCCTCTACCTGTACTACACCCCACTGCCTCTACCTGTACTACACCTCACTCAGAGCCTCTGTGTCCATGTACTGTTTATAACAGCTTGATAAAGCTCCTGGAGAGCGAAACGTTGCCACAATAAAATGTCACATGCACAGAGACAAGAGACAGTGCACAGAGACAAGAGACAGTGCACAGAGACAAGAGACAGTGCACAGAGACAAGAGACAGTGAACAGAGACAAGAGACAGTGAACAGAGACAAGAGACAGTGCACAGAGACAAGAGACAGTGAACAGAGACAAGAGACAGAGCACAGATACAAGAGAAACAGAGTACAGAGACAAGAGACAGTGCACAGAGACAAGAGACAGTGAACAGAGACAAGAGACAGAGCACAGATACAAGAGAAACAGAGTACAGAGACAAGAGACAGTGCACAGAGAAAAGATACAGAGCATAAAAACAAGGGACAGTGCTCAGAGACAAGAGACAGTCCACAGAGACAAGAGACAGTGCATAGAGAGAAGAGACAGTGAACAGAGACAAGAGACAGTGCACAGAGACAAGAGACAGTGAACAGAGACAAGAGACAGTGAACAGAGACAAGAGACAGTGCACAGAGACAAGAGACAGTGAACAGAGACAAGAGACAGTGAACAGAGACAAGAGACAGTGCACAGAGACAAGAGACAGTGCACAGAGACAAGAGACAGTGCACAGAGACAAGAGACAGTGAACAGAGACAAGAGACAGTGAACAGAGACAAGAGACAGTGAACAGAGACAAGAGACAGTGCACAGAGACAAGAGACAGTGAACAGAGACAAGAGACAGTGAACAGAGACAGCACACAGAAATAAAGCACATTTTTCCTACTGTGTCTGTGAGAGCTGCGCAGACTTCCTAGATGAAGAAAGTAGGAAAATATTGAATGCTGTCTGAAATTCTCCACAAGGGAGGTTCCTTGATGCTGGTGAGGGGCTCTTGATCCTGGTGAAAGGCTCTTGATGCTGGCGAGGGGCTCTTGATGATGACCATAGGCTCTTGATGATGGTGAGAGGCAATTGATGCAGGTGAGGGGCTCTTGATGATAGTGAGGGAACCTTGATGCTGGAGAGGGTCTCTTGATGCTGTTGAGGGGCTTTTAAGTCTTGTGAGGGGCTCTTGATGCTGGTGAGAGACTCTTAATGCTGGTGAAGGGCTCTTGATGCTGGTGAGGGGCTCTTGATGCTTGTGAGGGGCTCTTGATGCTGGTGAGGGGATATTTATGCTGATGAGGGACTCTTGATGCTGTTGAGAGCTCTTGATGCTTGTGAGGGGACCTTGATGCTGGTGAGGGGTTCTTGATGCTGGTGATGAGCTCTTGATACTGGTGAGGGTCACTTGATGCTGGTGAGGGGACCTTGATGCTGGTGAGGAACCTTGATGTCGGAGAGGGGCTCTCGATGCAGGTGAGGGGTTCTTGATACTCGTGAGGGGCTGTCGATGCTGGCGACAGACTCTTGATGCTGGTGAGAGGGCCCTTGATGCTAGTGAAGAAGCCTTGATGTCGGTGAGGGACTCTTGATGCTGGTGAGGGTCTGTTGATGCTGATGAGAGGCTCTTGATTCTGGTAAGGAGCTCTAGATGCTGATGAGGGACTCTTGATGCTGGTGAGGAGCTTTAGATGCTGTTGATGAGCTCCTGATGCTGGTGAGGGGCCCTTGATGATGATGAGGGGCTCCTGATGTTGTTGAGGGGCTCTTGTTGATGGTGAGGGGACCTTGATGCTGGCGAGGGGCTCTTGATGCTGGTGAGAGGACCTTGATGCTGGTGAGGATACCTTGATGCTTATGAGGGACCTTGATGCCGGTGAGGAGCTCTCGGTGCTGGTGAGGGGCTCTTGATGCTGGTGAGAGATTCTTGATGCTGGTGAGGGGCTCTTGATGCTGGTGAGAATCTCTAGATGCTGGTGAGGGGCTCTTGATGCTGGTGAGGGATTCTTGATGCTGGTGAGGGGCTCTTGATGCTGGTGAGAATCTCTAGATGCTGGTGAGGGGCTCTTGATGCTGGTGTGGGGCTCTTGATGCTGATTAGGGATCCTTGATGATGATGAGTGGCTCTTGATGATTTTGATGGGATATTGATGCTGGTGAGGGGCTCTTGATGATGGTGAGGGATCCTTGATGATGGTGAGGGGCTCTTGATGATTGTGAGGGGATCTTGATGCTGGTGAGGGGCTCTTGATGATTGTGAGGGGATCTTGATGCTGGTGAGGGGCTCTTGATGTAGGGAATTGGATCTGTGCTCCACTTCCTTGAATTATCCTGAATACCGTCCATACCCCACATAGGTGCTGTATAATCCTTCGGGTTTAGCGCTTCCTCCTTGATCATAATAATAATACCATGAAATTTGGGTACCGTAAGTAGTTCGTGGAGACTGTTTCTGGCATCATGGAGAACTTATAATAGAACATAAGAACATAAGTAAAAAGGAATTCTGCAGCAGGCCTACTGGCCCATGCGAGGCAGGTCAATGTTTTCTACCGGCTTAAGCCAATGCACCAAACATATTCAGGTCAGGTCACATTCATTTAAGGAAGGAACATGGCAACTGACCCAGTAGCACAAGCTAATCAGGTCCAACTCACACCCATCCACACCCACTCGTGTATTTATCTAACCTATTTTTAAAACTACAGAACGTTTTAGCCTCTATAACTGTACTCAGGAGTTTGTTCCACTCATCCACAACTCTATTACCAAACCAGTGCTTTCCTACATCCTTCCTGAATTTGAATTTTTTCAATTTAAAACCATTGCTGCAAGTCCTGTCTAGGCTAGACACTTTCAGCACACTATTTACTTCCCCTTTATTTATTCCTGTCTTCCATTTATACACCTCAATCATATCCCCCCTAATTCTACGCCTTTCTAGAGAGTGCAGATACAGGGCCCTCAGTCTTTCCTCATAGGGAAGGTTTCTAATACATGGTATCAACTTAGTCATCCTCCATTGTACGTTTTCCAAAGCATCTATATTCATTCTGTAATACGGTGACCAGAAGTGAGCAGCAAAGTCTAAATGAGGCTTAACCAAGGATATATAGAGTTGAAGAACAACCTGAGGACTTCTATTATTTATGCTTCTTAATATGAAGCCAAGAATTCTGTTAGGTTTATTGCGAACACTTATGCACTGTTGTTTTGGTTTTAGATTACTACTAACCAGAACTCCTAAATCTTTTTTTGCAACCCATTAATACTAAGATTTACATTATTTAGTTTGTATTTGGCATGGTTAGTTTCCTGTCCAACATTTAGAACTTTTCATTTGTCTATATTAAACTGCATCTGCCACTTCTCCGACCATTGCATCAGTCAATTCAAATCTTCCTGGAGTGCTCTAATGTCCTCGTCAGAATGAATTCGACGGAGTATTTTGGTGTCATCGGCAAACTTGCTTATGTTGATCTTTATGCCCTCATCAGTGTCGTTTATGTACATTGTGAACAACAGGGGTCCCAACACTGACCCCTGAGGAACAGCTCGTGACGCTTCCCCACTCTGATTTCTCCCCATTTATGCAAACTCTCTGCTGCCTATTTGTCAACCATGCCTCTATCCAGGAAAAAATTTCTCCTCCTATTGCATGTGCTTTAATTTTCCTCAATAGTCTCAGATGTGGGACCCTGTCAAAAGCCTTAGTGAAGTCCATATAATGATGATGACTAATAAACTTACCCTGAATACTGATAAAACCTATTTCAGTCAGCATGGAGACAAAGCTGCAAATGATCCAATTAACATAATGCTAAACGGATCATCAGTCATAAGACTCACAGAGGGAAAATTCCTATGTTTCCACCTTGACAGTAGCCTTAAATTCCGGACACACGTACAACAAATCACCAAGAAAATCTCCAAGACTGTAGGCATACTATCAAAGATAAGGTACTACATTCCACAATCAGCTCTCCTGGCACTGTACCATTCACTTATATACCCTTATCTTACATATGGAATTTGTGCATGGGGATCAACAACATCCAATCACTTTAAACCCCTAATAACCCAGCAAAAGGCAGCAGTAAGAATGATAACAAATTCCCACTCCCACCAGCACACTCCACCAATTTTCAAAAGTCTGAATCTGCTCACCATTAAGAACATCCATACTTATTCATGTGCCTACTACATACACAGAACAATACACGCAAATATAATCACTCCACACAAACTTCTCACCGACCTGAACAGGACACATGAGCACAACACAAGACACAGATATCTTTTTGATGTACCTCGTGTCCATATCACACTGTAAAAACTCTATGCACATAAAGGGCTCCAAAATATGGAATTCATTACCAGAAGAAATTAAAGTAACCCGGTCTGAAAACCAATTTAAGACTTCTTTCAAAAGCCACTTAATCACCCAAGACTAAATGCTAATTACTCAGTACACACATACTCACTTATGTACTCCCACATCATAACTTCAACAATCACTTTGAACCTTTTATCCATTGTTGACAGGAATATAATTGAATCATTGGTTTCACAAAAAGCATTTTTGAATGTATGAATATATCTTTTGTCTTATACAAATTAGACTCATTTATAATTAATAATCTACTGTACAACTATGAATTAATTATTATCCTACTGTACAACTATGATATAATCCTATAAGCCAATAATGTTAAATTGGCCCATAATGATTAGGCATAATAGAGGCTCTCTCTGCATTGCAACCCACTATTGTAAATACAAAATCTGAATGTACTGTTTGCAAAGACATAAAATAAATAAATAGATAAATAAATAAAATAAATAAATATATTCATTACCATGATTTACCTCCTCATATACCTTAGTGAAAAATGTTAATAAGTTCATAAAGCAGGAACGCCCCTTTGTAAAACCATGCTGAGATTCGTTGACTAATTTATGCTTTTCAAGGTGGCTACGAACTGTCTCGGTAATTACTGATTCCATAAATTTTTCCCACTATGGAGGTAAGGCTTATTGGTCTATAGTTCGATGCTAAGGACCTGTCACCTGCTTTGAAAATAGGTATCACATTTGCCATTTTCCACAGAGCCTAAGGTTCTTGATCTGAGGTTAACACCTTAGATCAAGAATGTGCTGGTTCTCCCATACAATGAAAACTTAACTGTCCTGCCAAATGTCCTTTACCGGCAGAACCGAGTATAGTCGGTCCTCAGAATGTGGTTTTTTGTGCACGTCCTCTGATTCCCCCAGTGCATCTAGATTCCCTTATCTCTATTTCTGACCAATCACAGACCTTCCCTGAGTCGCCCCAGCTGAGCGGTGATGGCGGCTGCTCGCTTCCCATTGGTCGAGAGAGCAGATATATACACTTCTAGCTTGCCGTCGCCCAAACTCGTGTTTTTCTGTTGAGTTCTCCTTATATACTGAAGCATTTCACCCTCTACAATGTTGGTATATACTGATTTGTGTGTCTAGTGCGTAAATGAATAGTTTAGCCATATTTTGATATATATATATATATATATATATATATATATATATATATATATATATATATATATATATATATATATATATATATAATATACATATAAATATATATATATATATATATAATATATATATATATATATATATAATATATATAATATATATATATATATATATATATATGAAGGCGTTGTGAAGCATATTACGAGTGCACCATGCAAATGAAAAAAGTGCAACAAAATAGGACCTAGTACAGTCGTTCCTGCACTTTTAGTTGATGTTTTCAAGTTTCGGTATATAAATATTTCCATAAAATTTGGTAGTGTATATGTGAATTCAGTAATGATCTGGGTGTGTACAGAACGTTTTTATTGTCCTTCCAGATCAATAAGAAATTGTTCTACAGTGAGTCCTCCAAGGCTAAGTCGAAATTTGTCTGTGTTTGGGACAATAGTGACTCAGATCAAGACCCAGATGACCTGGATTTGCTGGATAGTGAGGATGAATGCTTGCCACCAGATGCAGAGGTGTCAACAGATGAGGAGGAGGAAGCTCGGCCACCACCAAAAAAGCAAAAATTGAACAAGAGGAAGAAAGGTATTACTGTGGAGGAGTACCCTGATGAAGAACTGCTTCAAGATGATCTTGCTTCTCAAGGAGACACCCAATGGAAGAATGAGGACATCCAGACTGACCATTTGCCTAAATATCAACATGTAAAGCATATGATTATTTTAAAGGTGTGCATATGATTATTTTAAAGAGTTTTTTACTCAAGACATGATAGACCACATTACATTTCAAACTAATTTGCATGCCCAGCAAAAAGACATGCATAGTACTTTTCAAACAGATTCTGAGGAAATAACTAGGTTCATAGGTATTCTGTTGCATATGGGTTACACTGTACAGCCATCCATTGAGGACTATTGGAGAAGTGCAAGTAGGATAACTCAAGTTGCAGAAGTCATGGGATCAAAGAGGTTTAGGTTGCTGAGGCGTACCATTCATTTCAATGATAACACACAAAAGAAGGATAATTACAGATTCCACAAAATAAGGCCTCTTTACACTGCACTAACTAAAGCTTGCTTGAAAGTTCCAGCTACACCCAAGCAGTCTGTTGATGAAGTTATGGTTGCTTTCAAGGGTAAAACAGCTGGAAACCTAAGGCAATACATCAAAAACAAACCAGACAAATGGGGTTTCAAACTCTTCTGTCGTGTAAGTGAAGATGGAATCATACATGATATACTGATGTATCAAGGTAACCCAACTTTTGAGAACCATCACATAAAGCTGCCAAATGAAGAAAGTAAACTCCCAATGAGTTCCAGGATTGTTCTTGTACTTGCAGCATCTCTTTGACCAAAGAAAAACATCAGTAGTCTATGCTGATAATTTGTTTTCAAGTCTACCTTTGGTCAAGGTACTGAGAGACAAGTATAACTGCAGGTACACTTGAACAATACGTGATAATAGATGTGGTTAGCCACAACTGATGCCTGTGAAACAAATGGAAAAGACTAATGTGGCCAGGGGCAATTTTGATTTCCAAAGCAATGATGATATCCTTCTTGTAAGATGGAAGGACAACAAAGTTGTGACTCTAGTCACAACTGATGTCGGAGTTTATCCTTTGAGTCTTATTGAAAGATATGACAAGGCATCAAAGAAGAAAGACCACTTTGAGTGCCCAGGCATCATCAAGAACTACAATGCAAACATGGGAGGTATCGACAAAAGTAACATGTTGGTCCATCTTTACAAAATACCAATGAAATCAAAGCGTTGGTACATGCGGCTGTTTGCTTATGTTCTGGATGTTGCTGTTGTGAATGCATGGCTTCTTTACTGTCGTGATTGTAGGTCACTAAACATACCATGCACACCACTGAAGCTATTCAGGCTTGAGATCTCTGTCACTGCAAGATCCAAAGGACAAAAGGCCAACTGCACCAGCATGAGACGAAGTTGAGATTCACCCAGTACTTCTTTAGTTGACAGTAATGAGGATTTGTCAAACGTTGAATACCCATCTGCATTTCAGTACCAACATGCAGAAAGGCCAGATGACAGTGTGAGGTTGGATAAACAGCTAGGTCACTGGCCAGTGCTAGGTAAGCTGCTTACATGCAAGTTTTGCAGCAAAAAGAATAATCATGTCACATCCTCATTTTTCTGTGCCACATGTAAAGTAAATCTGTGCATAAAGAAGGATAGAAATTGTTTCATAAAGTTTCATTTGCAAAAGTAGTGATGTGAAATGATTGTTCTTTCTCAGGGAACTCAGGAACATTTCATTTGTAAGTTGTATCCCATTGCAATGTGTCATTGTTGATAAGTAGTTCCTATTTCTATTTTTTAATGCTTACAAATTGTTCAGAAACAAGTTCCATTTATGTTTTTTTTATATTGTCTACTTGTATAATAATTTAAAAAAATATATTTATTTGTTTTTTTTGCAACAATTGCAACCTTGCAACATTCTAAATTGTTATACCCCAAACGGGCAGGACCGAATATACTCGGTCTTCGAATATCTGCAATTGCCCGACATGTTGCTTTCACAACTCCGTTTGGATGGTCTCAGTGACCTTACATCGAGTGGCTCTATCCCCTCATAGGAAATCACTTTCAAATTCACACTTTAGACTGTCTTGCCTCCTGAAGGGATTTATTAAACAAATTTAACGTACAAGTAACTTTTAAGAATTCACAGTTAGGAGCATTCTGATAAAGAATTCTCCCCCGCAGTGTTTTGGTGGTGTCAACAGAATTGGTTACATTGGTTTTAAGTTATCCTATGTGAGACAGACTGGCAAACCTCTATATGAAAGTTAAGACATGTGTAACATCTGGGTGTCTTTATTGTAGATGTTTCGTCATCCAGTGGCTTTATTAATATAAATTCCAGAATATGTCATAGAATTTACATTGATAAAGCCACTTGTTGGTGAAACGTCTACAACAAATATACCCAGATGTTGATCACGTGTCTTAAAATCTCCCATTAGTACAATATTTTCGTATGTAGATGCCTAACCAGTATCGTCCCACAGAAGTTTACTGCACTCCTAATCAAGATTTAGGGGCCTTTAAATCACACGTAAAATTAGCTTTTCACGGCCCTCGAGAAGCTGCAACAACACAGATTCAATGGTTGATGTTTCTAATTTTAAATTTTTTCTAATACAACAATTAAAATTGTCTCTGACATACATCACTACTCCACCACTCTTCCTATTGACCTTATTATTGTGGAATAATTTATAGCCTTGTATGTGACATTCAGAATGCATTTATCTATCTTTCTGATTCAGCCAGGTCTCTGGTATAGAAATAATATCTATGCTTCCCACACTTGCAATTAATCTTAGCTCATCTACCTTATTTCCTACACTCCTGCTGTTAGTATAGTAAATCTTAGGGAGCTAGTCACTTGCTGCCCTCTCCTGTCCCCCTTTGTTTGCTGACCTGATCCATTGTCTTTATTTGTAACTTTATGATGAATGTCTTTTAAGCATTTATTGTTTTCAAACCTAGTGTTGCAACCTGACTGCTTCCCAAACACACCCATACCTATATCTTCTATCAGTTTAAAATCCTAGACATGTCAGCTGTGAGGGAAAAGTTCAATAGATAGGAGTAGTGAGGGAATACATAGTAACAATAGTTTCATTGCCGGCTACTTGTTAAAGTAGGGTAAGTCAAGCTCCCGCTATTCCCGCCTTTTTTCCCCACCCCTAAAGTGATAGTTTTTGCCGGCTACTTGTTAAGGTAGGGTCAGTCAAACTCCCGTTATTCCCACCTTTTTTCCCCCACCCCTAAAGTGATAGTTTGTTTGCCGGCTGCTTGTTAACGTAGGGTCAGTCTAGCTCCCACTATCACTTCCCCTCCCTCTTCCCCCCCCGAAAGGTGACGTGTGGGGCTCTGGTCAAACAGTAAATCACTCGACTTACAGCTCCCAACACTACTGTAAGTACATGCCTGCCTTGTATTCTAGTGGATTTATTGGTTGAAAGCTTCACTTTGGACCAATAATAAACTTAGTCTTTTCAGCCTTGCTCTAAGTTGACTGTTGTAATAATCACCACGTCTTTTAGGTATTGTACTTATCATGGAGAGTGATTATTTAAGCAGTGGGTAACCTGTCTATCTTTTCAGCTTGGATGACAGAGAGGGTCACCTGTCAATCAACGAGAAAAACTGAAGGAGACGGACTAACGTCCTGGAGACGTCCCATATTGGATTTACTTGCCTGTGCACTTGTATGAAGAATCAGGACATAACCCCTCATCATTACAGCGGTCAAGAACCTGATCTCCTGTCATCGGGAAAGATTACTTATGGCCACTAGAACGAGCCAGTGGGTTGTCACCAACAACTGCGACCCCCCCCCCCCCCCCCCACATCATCAGCAACGGCTTCTATTGCAACAATACGCAATGTCACCAACACCAGACACCCAAGTTTTTAGCGTTGAATTCAGATATCATTTATATTTTTAATTTTTCATTTTCTTTCATGTAGGATCAGTATTTCATATTTAAGTGTTTTATATTTCACATTTCCTAAATAATAAAGTGTTTATATTTGTCAGTTTTTGTTCTTTTTCTATTCATTAATTTTCCTGAGGAGGAGCCAGCCTAAGTAATACTGACTGAAGTTGTTACAGGGCTGAGTAAGCCTTCACATAGCAATGGCCCTCTTGATCGACTTGGCAAGTGCTACCACCCTTGCCCCAGAGAGATGTACCCCATCCTTTGCATACATATCATGTTTGCCATAAAAGTTGTCCCAGTTGTCAATGAATGGGACTGAAAATTTCTTGCACTATCTGTCTATCCAGCAATTTACACCAATTGCCCTAGACAACCATTCATTGCTCACTCCCCTTCTAGGCAAGATGCTACTTATGACTGGGACCCCTTCCTTAGACCTAATTAAATCTATAGCTAATCGATACTTATCTAGCAGCTCTTCTCTTCTACCCTTCCCGATATCATTTCCACCGGCAATGAGGCAGATAAAGGGCTTGTTCCCATTACCTGACATGATATTATTCAACCTGTTGACTATTTCACCAACACCAGCTCCAGGGAAGCACATTCTTTCTCTCTCTCTCCTGTTTATTCTTATTACAGAAAGCACAGTCCATATATCATATTTATGAGTCACCAACCGCAAGAATTCGCTTACCTCCATTAGCAAGGCAAGTAGTACCTTTATCGTCATTGACCACTGAGGTACTCTCATCCTGAAGAAAAGAGAAGTGATTTCCTACCTTCAAATCTTCTCTCTTAATTTTCCTTATTTTGATGCTCCTCCCATTACCGGGAACCACTCACCACTTGTAGCAGGTGCTGGACTGCACCTAACTGCTGGTAGCTTCATTCTCCTAAACCACCCCAACCACCTCTCACTCACTCCCAGACCAATCGAGGTGAACCTTCAGCCTCCTAAATTCCCGCTGAAGATGTAGGACCTCCTCCTTCAACACTCCAACCTCAGATTTTAAAACACAGCAGAAGCAAGCCATGGCTTTGTAACTCTCCACACTAATCCACAAAGTACGTAAGGAGCTGTGACCTCTCGTGATCACTGACCACTACATTAATCCCCCAAAACAGCTTAGGACAAGCGTGACCACTCGTGACCTGGGAACAAAACTGATCATCTGTGACCTTCGTGATGGTTGGTTTAAATTAGACAGTCTGATTCCCGTTGTTCGTGCCAATTCTGAGCTGATCGTTGGAGGCCAGCCGAGGTGAGCTTCTCTCAGTGAGCCGTGAGAGCAGGAAGCTGAGGTTGTTGGGCAGGTCGCTGGTTTCTTGTTACCGTTGCCAATACCCCTTCCCCACGTCCCCACACTTCCGAGACCTACACACGCCCACGCAAATTAGCGAATACCATGGAAGGGACATGAAGACTCCCTGGTCCGAGGTCGGTTCCAAATTCTAAAATTTAACACACCTGCTCCTTATTGGCAGCCGGGAAGCATAAGAAGCAAGAGTCAGTCCTAAGATCTGTGCTCTTAATTCACAAATTTGTAATGAATTTAATTAAGGGCTCCAGGAATTCCCCACAACAGAGACCACCATACCAACTACAAGTTATTAATTTACATATTTCTGGGAAAAAGTTGCCAAGAATATAATTTAAGCGTGTTTATCAAGTAACAAATTTATTTGTATTTACTGTATAAATTATTTATCTAATGCTGTTTTAACTTTGTTTCTGTTCGTGGATAATTTCGAAGTTTAGTTGTTAATATTGTTTGCTTGCAGACATATATCAATTTTTTTTTTTAAATACATCAAAACCCTAGAATACCATCATATGTACTGAGGTTTTGAAGAAAATTAGTGATATATTCTAGGACATCTACGTCACTTTATTGTGTCTGGCATTTTTTTTACACAAGAACTACATAATACATCAGGATACTTCTTTAAATTCCCTCACAGAAGTTTTGGATTGTAAGTGCGTGTAACGTAGGGAGAGACAAGTTGGTATTAGTATCGCGTCCATACATATCCGATACTATTCCCAGGTCTATAAAAGAGCGTAGATTCCCATGTGACATCAATCCAAACCTTAAAATAAAGCGTGAATACCTAGGTCACAAAGAAAAGGATACACTTTACTGCAGGTGACATCTATGACACGCATCCTTAAGGTGGCTTAACTTTGTAGAGCCATTATGATGCAATTATAAGACGAACTCGAGAGAAAATAATCTCGAGTGTGACATTTTAATAAGCAAAATTTGTCAGTGCAACTATGTGTGCAACACATAAACACATGCAAGACCACCAAGACAGAGTACAGTCTTGGTGGTCAAAGACTACAAACCTTATTCAGAAAACGGGATTTTGGTGTGAGTATAACACCGAGCACATCTTCTGAGGCCAATATCAGTCAGATAACTGCTACAACATATGGCAGCTTTGAAAACCTAAGAATAACTTTCCGACACCTCAGTAAAGTGCTAAACTTTGTAACAAGACTAGTCCGAGAGCTAAAGGGAATGTCCTACGAAGAAAGGTCATGGGAAATCAGCCTGACGACCCTGGAGGACAGGAGGGTTAAAGGAAACATGATAACGACATATATAATACAGCGAGGAAATGAAAAATGGACAGACTGGTATGTTCCAGAGATCGGACACAGAAACATGGTGTCACAATTGGAAGTTAAAAACTCAGATGAGTGAAAGAGATGTTAGTAACTATTTCTTCAATCATAGAGTTGTCAGAAAGTGTAATAGATTAGAAAGAGACG